GTGCAGACCTCGCCTATGTGCCATCAAGCAGTTTCAACTTTTTCCCTGGGGGGAAGTCAAGAGCAAGGGGAACATTTACTTGCCATTCTGCTTCTCCTCACTGCCTGTCATTTCTGAGGAAAGAGGGTAGGAAACGATACCACTCCTGAGGAAATATTTTTATTTTAGTTTTGACAAAAGCCTCAAAGCCCATGAGGAAAATTAGAGAAATGGAATTTAAAAAGTTTTAAACTCCTATGTAGATTCTTCCTATTGTGCAATCCAAACCCTGGCTCAGAGTCAAAGATCTGGTCTGCCGCCTCTTCCTAGGAAGTAGTTGAACCTCACTGTAGGCCTGTCAGACAAGTAAGGGGTCAGATAATGTGTCTGTCTGTGCCTTTTATAAAGCACCCAGTACAATTTTGATTGCTATAAAAGCAATAAATAATAAATACTTTCAAAGTTGTTGCATAATGGGTATGTGAAGTCACTTTAGAAAAAAGGCTAGGACTAAGTTATGATGAATATCCAAATTCATATGATCATTGCACCCAATAATATGAATGATCTTTGCTATACTATAGATTTTATAAACAATCTGGTTCAATTAATTCCAGATACAATCATGGATTGCTGGATGAGCAGAGGAAATATGTAGAGCATCTTGATATTACTTCACTCACCTTGTCTTGCTTTTCCATGACATTTCAATGCTTTGATGGAGTCTGCCCAAAGGGTATAGATACAATGCACAACTTAGGGGTTAGTTTTTAATCACAAGCTAAACTTTAAAACCCACATTTTGACAATGTTCAGGAGTGCCTTTTTCGAACTGCAAAATATTCAGAAGTTGAAAACCCCTTTTTTAAAAAAAATATAAAGACACTGACTTTGTCATAGTGACCCCGCCCTCATGACTTCTAGGATGTATTATTGTAATGCACTTTATTTGACATTACCTTTCAAAGCCACAGGCAGATAGTAGCTACAGGTGAACATGATAGCACATGTTGCACAGGTGAGGCTACCTTCTCTATACCATGTCAGTAAGTGCACATCAAGTTATTTTAATCATAGAAAAACTACATTGTGTAGGTCTAGTTCACAATACCTGACAGAGTACCTGACTGTTCTGTGTCTCTTTATGGTAACACAGATCAGGAGAACTGGAATTGTTGACCATTCTGAGATACAGGTGGGGATTTTCAGGTGCTCAAGTCCCATTAAAAATCAATAGGAGTTAGGCACTTAACTCTTTTAAGAGGCTTTGAAAATATCAGCCATAATTTTGAAAAGGCAGTGATTTTTCTATTGAGGGTCCATACTGTTTAAAACAATCCTCTCTGCATATTAACAAGGGCAGTGGTAATAGGCTATCCACCAGATACTAGCGATTGGCGCATTAGCAATGTTCAGAATATCATATCATCTTAATATTTTATGATTTGAGGGAAAGGCAGGTGGAGGGCTCTTTTCTGTTGATCTAATTGGTCACTCTAGTAGTATGACATGATTAGGATGTGTTTTGTTAAAGCACCCAAATGGCTCAGTTACAACAGCTAAAAATGAAAAGAAAAAAAAAAAACCTACCACCGAATTAAATGTCAGTCAGATGTTTTCCATACCTTAAATACATATACAGATAGGAAGAAAATTCTAATTATTTTCACAGATCTCTCAAGTAATATTCTCTTTTTCTTTTACATACCTGCCTGTGAAGAAGCTGTTCCATGCCATGTTTTCTTTCTTTTTCAGAATTGAAAAATGGAAATGATGTACGAATTGGAATCAACAACTGGCATATTTTTTCATGGATGCTAACCCAGTCAGCTTTTTGATGATCTACATCACTGGTAAAATAAGAGGAAAATACTTTTTTTAAAAGCATTATCTATCATTATTGCATTTCTAGTTGTATATTCTGTCAATTCCTGCTGTAGTTTCTACTGGATTTCACCAATAATGAATACTTACTCATAACAAATAGTCTGTAACAGTGGCAGGATCTAGTTCCCCAACAGGATTCCAGAATAGGAAGGTAGTGCTCTTCTGCCAAGTCAACTTAACATAAGCTGTTAGAACCCTCCAGAGAAATCACTTACAAAACCTTTGTTAAGGTGGAGTTAAAGCTGCTGCTATGCAACAGGGCCTTGTGAGCTGTGTACACTTTTGTAACGTGGAACTTCAAAACCCCAATCTCAAATGTTGGAAAACTGGGAACTGCTAAGTTAAAGTCTCCCCACCTATCACCAAAGAAAACATCAGCATGAGAGAACAGCCCGTCAAATTAAGAAACGTAGGAAAAACAGTTTCTACTCCGCTTTCCATATGAACACCTTATAAAGTAAGTGGAAAATATTCACCAGCAAACCTGCAAGCAATCCCCTCACTGCATCGTTAACATCCTTAATTGTGATTATACAATTGGGAACAAAGAAAAGCAGCTCAATACCTCTAGTGTGATCTCTGTCAATCATCAGCGATTATTCCCATATCAGTACTACTATAGCGATCACCCTGATGGTCCTGTTGCATTGCATGAATAGGGGTCCTTATCTGGAGTTCTCATGGATGCAGAGAAAATGTCATTTTTTGTTAGGAAAAGGTAAGGTACTGTGATGTGCCTAGTGCCTATCATCATCCCTACAGGTTTCAGAGTGGTAGCTGTGTTAGTCTGTATTAGCAAAAACAACGAGGAGTCCTTGTGGCACCTTAGAGACTAACCAATTTATTTGGACATAAACTTTCATGGGCTATAACCCACTTCATCAGATGCATGGAGTGGAAAATACAGTAGGCAGGTATAAATATACAGGACATGAAAATAAATTTTCCCTCTGTTGATACTCACCACTTCTTGTCAACTGTTGGAAATGGGCCACATCTACCCTAATTGATTTGTCCTCGTTAGCACTGACCCCCGTCTTGGTAAGGCAACTCCCATCTTTTCATGTGCTGTATATTTATACCTGCCTACTGTATTTTCCACTCCATGCATCTGATGAAGTGGGTTATAGCCCACGAAAGCTTATGCCCAAATAAATTTGTTAGTCTCTAAGGTGCCACAAGGACTCCTCGTTGTTTTTGCTAATACAGACTAACACAGCTACCACTCTGAAACCTGTAGGGATGATGATAGGCACTAGGAACATCACAGTACCTTACCTTTTCCTAACAAAAAATGACATTTTCTCTGCATCCATGAGAACTCCAGATAAGGACCCCTATTCATGCAATGCAACAGGACCATCAGGGTGATCGCTATAGTAGTACTGATATGGGAATAATCGCTGATGATTGACAGAGATCACACTAGAGGTATTGAGCTGCTTTTCTTTGTTCCCAATTGTATAATCACAATTAAGGATGCAGTGAGGGGATTGCTTGCAGGTTTGCTGGTGAATATTTTCCACTTACT